TCTGTTTACCTTCTCCCCGCATCCAACTCGTGGATTGCTCAGTTATCGACTGCAGCCGGAGAGGTCATCTCTCCTCTGGAGAAAAAAAAGCGAATGGCTCAGGCTAGCCTCAATTTGCCGCCCAGTTCTCAGAGCGAGGATAAAGAAAGGCCCTCCGTCATCCACTGTTCCCAGTCTCCAGCCAGGGCTTCTTCCAGCAGAAACTGCAACTCCTCTGATGGCTCCCCACTCCCTTTATCCTCCTCCTCTTCCCGCAGCCCCTCCCCTTACTCTGTTTCATCAGAGGAAGGTCCAGCAGGAGGTGAAGATAAAGCTGCATCAAGCTCAGAAATGTCCCAAAACGCTTCTGTCAAAAATCCATCGGGCCGCAGTGACGATAGCAAGACTGTTAGTAAGACACACAAAGAACCTAAAGGACAGAATAAGGATGTTTCTCAAATCGTCTCTGACTCGATTAAAAACCAAGTTAAAGACTGGAAGTCCTACAAAGGAGCAAGCAAACATTACCTTTATCCTTTCCAGCTACCCACCACATACTCTGTGAAACCTGGCTTTTCTCCAACATCTACCTCTAGCTTCACCAGAGTTATTCCAAAATCTGGCAATGTTCTACGACCCACTCCAGTTCGGCCAAGTACCAAAGGCCAAACGGGTAGGTTGCTTCAGCAGGACGACTCTCTGACTTGTGCAAAGAGGATGTCTCTGTGGCCCTGTCAGACAGAGAAGAGAGAGAAATCCAGGACAATGCAACAGAAAGTTTCTCCCGCTCAGCAGAGCCTGTCCTATTCCGCCGCCAGCATGCCGTTGCCGTGTGTCCTGTCAGGCTACGAGAAAACAGCCAGAGACTCCAGGCTCCAACCTCCCCTGCCCCCTTCATTTATCCCCAGCAGAATGAGACTACCTCCCTCTCAGCTAATGTATCGTAATGTACCAATGGGTCCACCTCCCTCTGCTTTCATTGGGTCTGCTTTTTACTCCTACCCCTACCCCATTCCTCTGTTAAATCCCCAAACTGCATATGCCATTCCTGCCATCAATTCCATTTACCCTCAAAAGTTGTGAGAAAATCACAATGATAATCACAAAACAAGACAGTGGGTTGTTGCCCAGTTGAGTATTGTTGAGGCCTCCTGACATGTTTTAAACATGAAATATTTTCAAGTTATTCCTGCTGAGTGACTGTATGGATCCTGGGGATTAACACCGAGTAGTGATAGCTGCAAATATTTATAGGAGCCAGTGAATCATGTTGAAGACTTGCTGTCCAAGTGCACCTGAAAGGTGCACTACTTAAAAAAAAATTACAATATGCAATATTTCTTTAGCTGCTACACTAGGATCAAATAATGTAATCTGTCTAATATAAATTTTGGAAAAACAGATTAAGGTCAGTTATTTTCAGTTTTAATTTCTTTAGATTTTATCTAGTAAATGTTAATGATATGTTGCTGTGATTATTAAAATAAATGTTATATTCAATTCAGGTCAAAATGAATGCGATATTAAGGTTATCGTCAATTGCACAGTTTCATTATTTTGTTTTTGGAAACAAAAAAACTGTCTAATGTTCCCTGATGTACTGTAGTTATGTCTGAAGATTATTATTATTTTGAATGAATGTTGGTCAGTGTTTGATATAAAAAAAAATATCTATATTGTTCTCATGTTATTCAAATGTATTTAAACGAAAGACTAAACCAGCCAACAAATAAAGAGAAAACATGAAAACATATTTGTTCTTTTTGTTCAGTTCAATCACAGCACTGTAAGATTGTGAAAGATGAAAGCTTTAGCACTACGCTCTCTCCTCCGCCTTCTTGATATGATGTTCTTCTGCTTTCCTGCCCGCTGTATCTTCGGCGATGCTGTTCGCTGTTTTTCGTAGCGTCCTGATGACACACAGTTTGTGCTCCAGTGGGTGATGGCAGTCAAACCTTAATTAGAAAAAGTTGCATTTCCTGAGAAAATGCAGTGTGAATGCCGTGTAGTGGAATCTGCTGAAAACAGCTGAAAAAGCTGAAGTTTCAGCTGAAAAGAAGTAAAAAAGCAAAAACTGCTCTCAAAGCAGCTGCTCATCTCACTGAGCAGAAGAGGCTGAGATTTGTGTTTATAAGAGGTGAAAAGCTGAAAATTCTGCTGAAAAGAGGTGAACTTTTTGAACTTTCTGCTGAAAATAGATGAAGAAACTGAAAATTCTGCTGAAAATTTGTGCTCAAAACAGGTGAAAAAACATTTTGCTGAAAAGACATGAAAATGCTGAAATGGATATTAGAAAATTTGCTGAAATCATAAAAACATTGCAGATATGTAATAAATTGGCAGAAAAATTGTAGTGTGGTCCATTCATTTTAATGGGCCAAAAAATGGCACAAAAAGTTTAATATTTCAAAAAGTATAGCAGTTATGAGCACCAAAAGATATAGCACACATCTGCAGAAGGAGCAGAACAGTTTAAAGTTCGAATGGTGAAAATCAGTTGAAAACTGAGGGAGGAGTTAAGCGGCAAAGAAACGGAGCAAGTAGAATAATAAAGGATCGTAGAATAATAAAGGATCAAAGAATAAAGAGAAACAGGATCACAATATTTTACGTTACCCATCAACTTTTAAATGTCCCCCATTACTAATGGAAATCTCACAGTCTAAGAAGGCAGTCATTTTTCATAACCTCCATGGTGAACTTGATGTGTTTCTCCACTAAGTTAATCTGATCAGTGAATTGTGGTACGTCCTGAGGTTTGATTTTCAATCAGGTGTCATCCACATACCTGAACCAATGACTTGGGGGTGTTCCAGGGTAGGATAACAGAGCCCCGTTTTCCACTTCTTCCATGTACAAGTTGGCCACAGTGGGTGAAACTGGGGAACCTACGGTACACCCATGTTTCTGCTTGTAGTACTGACACTTGTATTTGAAATAGGTGGAATGAAGACACAGTTCCACAAACAAACACACTTGGTCGGTGCTGAGAGTGGTCCTGCTGCTGAGGTTGGGGTCATCCTGTAATCTCTTATGAACTACCTTCACTGCTTCAGTGACTGGAACACAAGTGAAGAGAAACGTAACACCATGTGAGATCATTGTTTCATCTGCCTCCATTATGACATCTCTAAGCTTCTCAACAAAATTCAAAGTGTTCTGGATGTAGCGTTTAGAGCTGCCTATCAACGGGTTGAGGATCAAAGCCAGAAACTCTGAGTTGATCATGCAGACAATTGGTCTTAAAGGTACACCCTGTTTTTGTATCTTCGGTAAACCATACAGACTTGGTGTAGTTTCCCCTGGGTGTAGCCTGTGGTATGAGGTCTGGTCAGCAGCATTGTCTTAATCTAAGTGCTTGACACATTCTATGACCCTTTTCCTGTAACCACTACCTGTGTCTCGATTCAGAGCCTCATAAGTATTTTTGTCAGTGAGCAGTGACAAATTCTTCTCAATATAGTCTTTCTGTTATTTGTGTTTGCTGATGTGCATTAAGGAAACTGCAGCTGTCTGAGGCATGTGGTGAGAGCTGCAACCTTGCAGGTCTGATGTAGTCCAGATAAGTTCAGAGGATGCTGATAGCGTGCAACACTGAACATCACTATGGTGGCCGCAGTGCAGGCAAAAAATATGAAAGAACTATGAAGCAAGTGCAATGAGGAGTGATGAGAAGGAGCAAATAGGACAAATGAGATACTGCAGTAAGGTTGTCTGAAAGAGCTGCAACGAGAGAAGCAGATGATCTCTGAATTCACACTAATGAAACTGCAGGCTAAGAGCCCAGATAACGTGTAGATCTAGCTCCCAGTTTGGATTTGTGAGACAGAAACCATCTCTACTTTTAAGATTAGCTTTAAAACCTTTGATAAAGTATATAGTTAGGGCTGGATCAGGTGACACTGAACCCTCCCTTAGTTAAACTTCAATAGGCCCAAGCTGCTGGGGGGCTTCCCATGATGCAATGAGCATTTCTTCTTAATTCAACTCTATTCACACTCTGTGTGTTTATATGCTGCTTTGTATTTAATCATTAGTTATTTTTAATCTCCGGCTCTTTTCCACAGAGTGTCGTTTTTGCTTCCTCCCTCCCCACTCATCCACGACCACTCATGGCACAGCCTCCCTGAGCCTGGTTCTGCCAGGGGTTTCTTCCCATTAAAAGGGAGCCACTTCCTCATAATGATTAATCTGATTGTTGGAGTTTATTTTTATTGGTTTTAGAGTCTTTACTTTACAACACAAAGCACCTTTACTGTTTACTGGCAACTGTTGTTTTGGCAATTAAATTTTATCAAATTCAATGCATGCTGATTTAGGAAATCAAATTGACTTCTACGGCATCAGTTATGTCTCTGTGTGTTTGTAATAATCACAATCTTTTGGTATTTCTTGAGTGAATATGCAGTACCCTGTGCTGTCACTGTCTTTTATATAGTGTCTATTATATTATGTCTATTAGTGGTATGGGAAGCATTTCTATGAGGGTTTTTCTAGATCATAAGTAATGCTTGTGTTATATATTTGATAGTATTAGCAGTAATTATCTGTAAATATATAAAATATATAATAAATATATATATAAAGATATCTCTCGCAATATAAGCACAATAACATAACTACTAATTACGATCCGTGAAAACACAATAGAAATGCTTCTCCCACCACTTTCTACCACTCTAGCATTACTTACAACAATCTTCAGCAACATGCAATATTTTGAGTGTATTGCTTGTATTCACAGCACGTGTTATGTAGAGAAGATTCCCTCAGTGATGCGTTTCAGGAAAAACCGGGCTCATTGAACTTTTAAAGTTTGCGCTCCTGTAGCAGAAAATCCTCAACATCCCCGATCAATATTCTTCCTGAATGTCTAGAAACGAATTTACTGTCTTTTATTGAATGCTCCGTCCAATTATTAATAAAAACTATACTAAGCCTACGAGAAGGCTTGCCTGACAAGCTAAACTCGGGGAAACGAGCACAATGTAAATCTCGCGAGAAGAATCCCAGTGGCGCGAATAAACAACGAGTTTTTCCGCTAACTTGTGGCTGCTGTGACAGTAGTAGTCGCATTAGTACATTTTTTCTCATATTATTCAGTTTTAATTGCTCTATTTTTATTATTAATTTATTTTTAATTCAACAGATATTCTGCGTTTTGGTGAAACTTTGTATTTTTACTGAAAACCATGTCGGACGCTTTGTCTGACGACGGCAGCGACTTCAACCAGGATGACACCCAGGAGGATGTTATGACCCCGGCCGAGCTGATCGCTAAACTGGAAGAAGTAGGCCAGATTATTCCCCTGACGTGCAGACTCTTCACCTCTATTAGATATTCAGCACCGTCTTCACTGTTGTGTCCGTGTGTGTCGCCCACAGGCTTGGCTAAATGAGAAGTTCTCACCGGAGTTGCTGGAGAACAAATCAGAGGTGGTGGAGTGTGTGATGGAGCAGCTGACTCATATGGTAAACTACCCGGGGAATACCTCCTGCTGTGGGTTTCTAATGTTCAGTGGCATGCATGGTTATAGTTGAGTTTCTGAATTGCAAAACAGCAACTGAAACGCGAAGGACTGCAACCTATGACAATGTGCATGACTGATTCAAATGCAGCAGAGGGAAAACTATATTCAGTACTGTGCAAAAGTCTCGAGCCACCTCTCACTTTTTTATGTTTTGCTATGATGTAGTGAAATTGTCATGCAGAATGTAAGGCAAAAGCAAAGTTGGTACAAGTCTAATGAGCTTGAAAGTTCATATTCCGTATGACCACCTTTATGTTACACACAGCCTCAACTCTCTTGGGAAAGCTTTCTTGTAATTTCTTTAAGTAATCTTTAGGAATTGTTCTCCAGACTTCTTAAAGGACATTAAAAGCTCTTTGATGTCGGCTGCCTTTTGTTCTGTTCTCTGTCAAGATGATCCCACACTGCTTCAATAATGTCGAGGCCAATCCATGACTGATAGTGTTCCGCTGTGTGGGGTTTTTTTGTTTTTGTTTTTTATGTTTGGGGGTTTTTTTTTTTTTGGTTGTTTTTTTTCCCATCCAGGTATGCTTTTACTGCATTGGCAGTGTGTTAGGGATCATTGCCATGCTTAAAAATGACTTGTTTGGAAAAAAAAACTTGTCTAGTTTGCACAATTTTATTTAATGGCACACATGCTGAGATATACCAAGCTGATTCTCAGTGGTTAGTAGCTCAGTGAGAATCATCTTGTTGGTGTAGAAATATAATTTCATACCTGTAAAATGTTTTTTTTCTTTGGCATTTTTAATAGATTCAACTAAAGGAGTGAAAAGAAAGAATGTGTTTTTTGCTACAGGCTCCCAATAGCAAAGTGCCTAAAGTAGCACGTTAAAATAGCTTCTTTGTTAAGTTGTCTGTTGTTTTTGCAGATGCGTTACTGGCTTTTCCTTCGAATTCGGTGCCTTTTCGTGCTCGGATGATTCATAGGTCAATGTTAAGTGGCTTAACAAACAAAAATAGGTGCATTCCACCTCTTCTAAACTGAATTTTGTTTTTTTTAACCCATAAAAAGCAAAAGATTGTAGAAAAAGACCTATTACAATTCACTAGAGCTCAAAATGCCACTTTATACACACAAATTAATTTATTTTTCAGTGTGAGTTTAAAGAAAGTAATTTCCTCTTCAGTGGGTCAAAAAACATCATCAAATGTTCAAAATATAGAAGTTGAATTCAGGAATATCTGAGATTTTTTCTTTTTGTTCGTTTACTTGAATTATTACAAAAATGTTTTAATTTCTTCTGTCACCTGACAGATCAGCACTTCATTGCTGGTTTTCTTACTATTTAGTTTCATTAGTATGGATAAATTGATCTATAGGAAGCCCTGCAATTGATATCAAGACTTTGATGGTAATGTCAAATGTGTAATGTGGTGGTTTCAAAATAAAATCTCAAACAATTCAGGGCAATGTGGTTTGCTCTGTGACAAACTACTAACTAAAGCTGCTGCCTGTCAGTAGGACCTTGATTACATTACTATACATCCAGATGTGGAGAGTCATTCATTTCAGATGATTAGGATGGTATTAACACTGTGATATTCAAACATATCCCAGGGCTGTTGCTTTTCTGGTTATTCTGAGTAGCCCTGAATAAAAGGACCCTTTAATTTCTGACAGTTTTGTCACCAACAGGAGTCCAACTTGCAGCGGGTGAAGAAAGGCGATGCAAAGGCCAGCATCCATCGCATGGAAATAGACAGGATCCGCTACGTTCTCAGCAGCTACCTGCGCTCTCGTCTGCAGAAGGTCGGTTGGGTCGGCGCCACAAAACTGAGTTTTCGCTCACTCGGTGGCAGTTGGTGACATCTGCCTGACCTTTTGTGCTGTTCGTGTCTAGATTGAAAAGTATTTCCCACATGTCTTGGAGAGAGAGAAGTCTCGGGGTGAGGGCGAGCCATCTCTGCTGTCGCCTGAGGAGTTTGCTTTTGCCAAAGAGTGAGTGTACTGGAATAAAGTCGTTTAAATCGCTGCGGTTCTTGCAACACTTGGGAATTTTTTTTAAATCACATGCCAACACATCTGGCTTGCAGGTATTATGCCAACACAGAAAGCTACCTGAAGGCTGTAGCACTGAAGCGCATGCCAGCCAATGTACAGACTATGGATATGCTCAAAGCAGGTAAGGTGTCGTTCTGTGTCTAAAATGGTGATACTATTAGCCCATGCAGACAGATGGTGACATTTGCTGTGACATTTTTACTGACCATTGCACTGGATTCACCACTGTGTATCCTAATGTTAGTGCCTGAGCCCTGCCTGGACTCCTTTGTGTTTCTGCGAGTGAAAGAGAGACAGGAAAACATCCTGGTAGAGCCTGAAACGGAGGATCAGAGGTTTGTTTGCCAATATTTCTCTGGATGTGCTATTATTTAGGCATCCAGTAGGTGACAGTGTTGCCTTCTTGCATTCGCTAACCTTTTTCTGTATAGATACTAAACTGATAAAATCTCCACTGTGTCTCTTCTATCAGAGAGTATGTCGTGGATCTCGAAGAGGGCTCTCAACACCTAATGCGTTATCGAACTATAGCTCCACTTGTGTCAAGTGGAGCTGTGCAGTTGATATGAATGCAAAGGTCAGTACCAGTGAGCCTTGACTGAGGCATCTTTGTCATTAACTCAATACTGCCCTCACACCCTCTTCTACAGGCATCTAATAATTCATTTCTGCAGCTCTTACATAAGCCATGGCTTTGCGGTGACATCTGGATTTATTTTTAGTGCTTACTTTTTTCTCTTTCCCTTTTTTCCCTTCTTGAGTGTTCATTGTCTCTTGGCAACAGATAATAAAAAACAGCATTGAAATTTTAAAGCACCATGATGTGTTTACAACAAATTTTAGTTGCCATCTCTAAACTAAACTATTGTTAACAGTCAAGGGCAATTAATAGTGGTCTTTTATATGTTGCAGGTTGCTTGTTACTTTGGATCCAGGAGACATTCCTGAAATAAAGACTGCACAGAGATCACATCAGGAAGCATGCCCTTCATCTTCATCTTTCATCCAGAATAAGGACTGACTTTTGGGATGTAAATATAGAGACGTTTGTAGCACCATGGGACCAGAATTTAATTCTGTGGGGGCGGGGGGACACAATCGAGGCCACTGCCAGCGGAAACTAAAAGCTGTGGATGAACCCTGTTTACTAAACTAGGTTTTTGCAGCGCTGAGTTTGTATTTTTGGATCTTTTTAATCACGCCATGACATATGCTTTGTTGTGTAGTACGTTGGTGAGCGTGTGACTGATAAAGACAGCTCTGTCTAATCTGTTTATTCATTACTCTTCATGTTGCTTCATCCAAGTAATTCATGTTATTGGATGATTTCTCAGCTGCTCCATAACCGGATGCATCAGATGACCCGACGGTGAAATTTCATCAGTTCACTTGGCATCATAATGCCTTCCATCCCGTGCTCATGCTACATGTGCATGCCTCTTTGCAAGATCAGGGTTTGTTTGCTGTGATTTAAGGACATTCACACTTGAATTAACATGCTTTAATGTCATTGATTATCCTGTTAATGCTCACGTAGTTGTTGTACATCGTGACATTACTCTTTTTCACATGTTGAAAGTTTCCTTTTTGACTTTGCTTTAAACTTTAACCTAAAAGATGTTATGAGAACATTGTTATGTAAGTGTTTCAGCGGGAGCAATCAGTGCTTATTGTTTGCCTTCACATAAATTCACCAGTAATTAGAACTAATAAGGGATTGAAAGAGTGGGCTTAGACAGTCGTCTTGATTACTCTCTGTTGCTAACTCTTAAACTGCATTCATAGAAGACCTGGAGAAGAAATGTTACTTGATGTTCTGATTATCACACTGCTGTCATATAGTGTGGGCCTTGACCTGGTAAAACCAGGAACAAATCAAGTTGATTTAGATGTCTGATAGCATACAGTGTGGGGAACGGGCCTGTTATTATTCCTATTAAAATGCTGGAAAATAAAGTAAATATTCCCTCAGGCATCGAAGATAGTTTGAAATGTGAGTTGGAGAAAAAAATAAAATGATTGTGAAAAAAATTGCATTTATTAAACACTACACCATTTTTTTAGGCTTTGTAAAATCTTGACATTTGTAACAGTTTTTATCATTTCACACTAATTGTAAAGTCATAAAAATATCCTGTAGTTTGGTGGCAACAGTCTCAGTAAAGATAGGTTTTCCATGTGTGGCCATGTATGGAACTTGATATACTCGCATACGCACATGGACTGATTCCTGAATAGCTTCTTCGGCTAAGTGACCAGCCTGCTGAGAGTTGTTTGTAATCCGGCCCTCCTCAGGTTTGCACATGCTGATGGACCGTGGGGCAGTGATTCCTTTAGAGCAGGCGCTAGATAGCAAAGGTTTGGAGCCATGCCCAGGCCTCTGTGGGATCTGTGTCCACTAACAGGTGTGAGAATAAAGGGCAGGATAACCTGGATAGTTTCCATAATGCAGAGTGGAATTACACAAGACTTTTATGTACGTAACGCAGATCGTCAACACTGGACAATGAATGTGCAAGGTGACGATACAAATATTTAACTTCACATGGTTAACATTTAGGTGTGTTCATATGTTTCTTTCCCATAATTAAATGATTTATTTATGCAAAGTAATGGCAACCTATGAAAACATAAAACTTACTGAAATGCAGTACCACAGGGAGACATAAAGAGAAAAATAGTCACAAGCTGATTGGTCAGGACAGCGAAGAGGGTGGAGTTTACAATATGACATCTAAACTGAGGTGATATAAATGTGTTGTGCCAGATTCTCCTGTGGGGAACAACTGACAACACAACTGCAACACGCTACTCATGGGAGATTGTAAGTACATTTTTAAATGTCAGAATTACACACAAAGATTGTTGCATGTTGTCACACACCAATCTTTGTGTGCAACTTTTTTTTCTTTTTTAAATACAGATTTTCTTGTAATTGTGACAGATTTTTTTTCTTTTTTCCAGAACTCCAAACATTGAGGACAATATTCCCATCACTCAGCATAGGAATACCAGCATGGAGATGTCCAGTACATCGTAAGCAGACACAACACACACAAACTGTGCAGATTAGCTTGCACAACTTCTTTAGGGGTTAAATTAAAATTACCATAATATTTTTTATCAGATCCCTTTCACGTTGTGATGCCTTCCTTAAAAGCCCTGCATAAACATGTAATGACACAACTGCGATATATACAAAGATATATTCACATTTCCAGTCAGTACTGAGGTCCCCGTGTGTTTCTTGTTAGTGTCCTGCCAGTGGTTGGCTTTGGGTCGATGGCTCGGACAGCCGGACTGCTGGAGATTGCTGTCAGGCTGTGCTTAAACCAGCGTAAACAACTGTGTCCTCATGTCTGGGTTCCCATCCTGAAACCCCAGCGATCCTGCATCCGTCCTCCAGCTTCAGAGCACTTATCCTCTGACATCTTGAGCCAAGTCTTTCCGCCCCATCCTTTCTCACCTTTCCTCGATGACTTGGACGACGGCGATGATGATGTGTTGTTCCCAATCAAGAGCAAACGTGTTGTTTTTGCCGACTCGCGGGGATTGTCTCTAACAGCCGTGCGAGTGTTTTCCGACAAAGAAGAGCAGTCTGACCTCGACCTGCTGCCATCACTGAAGTCTCTGGGCAGCATGACAGAGGATGGCTACAGCTGCACAGTCAGCACCTGCTGCCCAGGAACACAGCTCAAACTGGGCTTCCCGCAGCCATCTGCAAATTTCCAGGCCTTTCGTGCCAAGCTGGCAGAGAGCATGGTCATCTTGGAGAACTGCAGTATCAGCGAAAAGGCCCTCCGGGGTACCGTAAGGGTTAAGAATGTCAGCTACCAGAAGGATGTGCGTGTGCGCATCACCTTTGACTCGTGGCAGAGCTACAGAGACGTGCCCTGCACGTACCTGCAGAAACGCTTCGGAGGACCTCAGACGGACATCTTTGAATTTGACATTACTATTCCTAAAGTGCTAGATGCCAAAAGGAAGATTGAGTTCTGTTTAAGTTATTTGCCAGGAGGGCACAGCGAGCCTTTTTGGGACAATAACGATGGACAGAATTACAGCATTACAGTGAGCGTGAACTCACATCTGTGCCATGGGAAGAATCTAAGTGAAAGGTCATGACTCACTAAACCTAGAAGTGATCCTGTTTTTTTCCCACCTTCGTGTATACTGTATCAGTCCTGGGTGAAGGTTTAGTGTACATTTTTGTGTTTTTCTGTGAAATGTTACTTCTTTTATTTTTGATCATGTTTATACTGCTTAGTAACAGTTCTATATTTTAAAAATGTCTTTAAAACAGATCAGTTTTGGTGTCAGTTCCTTTCACGTTAAGCATCACACACTGTGTCCTGCATTTTGGCCCGTCACCACAGGATGAATTATTGTTGTGCGACAGGGAGGGGATCCCTTTCACTTTAGGCATTTCTGGGATTCCCATATAGGTCAGAGATTACTGGGCAGGGACAAACAGGAGGCCAATAGCAGAAGCCGCTAATCTTAGCACAGCTGCCAAAGAGCGACTGCAGGGAGCTTTGAGAACTTCCTCATTACCTTTCTCTTATGTTCAAACACTGAACCTCCTCCTAATGGCTTTTACTGTTACAAAGTATCCTACTGTTCTGCAGTATGACAATTTCTTAGTCATAACCTTACATTTAAAGTGAAGCAGGAAAGTATTCAGTGAGGATGCTGGAAACTAACGTTCATGTTTCAGTGTAGTATAAGTGATTAGACTTCATTTTGTAGGAGACACATGGCAGTGTATGTTGTTTGAGAGGTGATCACAATAAGCTGAAATAATCTCCAAAGGGAATAAAAACAACCCCAGTTTACATGCCATCACACCAGCTTTGACTTGTCACAGCAGAGAAAGAGCAGGAGGACTGATGATGGCTGAGTAAGCTGTGAAAGTGAGCAAGTGTCCATGTTAGAAAAACCTCACCTTGACTATTACTTTGCCTGATTTTCCCTACTGCAACAAGTCAAAATGTCAGTTGTGAAAAAAACACATCAAAGGGAAAATGGGCAAAAAAAAAAAAAAACATCACCATGATGATGCCAGAAAAAACAGTCTTCTTAAGCCTGCTGTGTTTTCAGTGCATTTTTTTTGTCATGGATGCATGTTCATTGTATTTCCAGCTGTGATTAGGATGGAGTAATGCTATACACACTTTTACAAGTCTTCTAGTTTAAATACACTATCTGGTCCAGGCAGGAGGGAGGAGGGAAAGCAGCACGAGTGCACCCTGAGAGGTGACTCTTTCCACAGTGTTCTGACCTACACATGATGGGCTCAACCATCTTTTTGCATCACAGCGTCTGTCTTGGCTGCAGACTTGCACACTTCAAGTTCTGCGCCAGCGCTTCCCTCAGCGTCCCACGCTGATGTTGCACACTTTGCAGCTCGGGTCTTTCTTGGCATTGGTGGTGGTCAGACTCATAAGCTGGTGCCCGCTGATTTGCTCCACGCCGCCCTGATCCAAGTGAACCGGCTCGGTGAACAGCACCTCGAGGATGACGTCGCTGGCGTGGCAGTACAAGGGCTCCTCCCCGGGTCTCTGAGAGGCAGTGTAAGTCAAAAAGGGGTTGGAAGCCAAGTCCAGCATAGGGAGGCGGGTGCGGCAGAAGGCATCTCCCTCTGAGCCAACAGGGGCAAGCACCAGCACCACATAGTGGTAGGCCGTGTACATGCAGTAGAAGTCTGCAAAATACAGGCAGATGTTGGGGTTCAGCAGGTGTCCAGCCGGGATCTGAAACCGCAGGGGTCCGTACGGGGAGTCTTTGGGAGGGAGCCCTGTATCAAACTCTGTGTTGCAGCTGAAGAAGACTCCATGCAGTTTGCCGCTGATGGGTGAGCCGTGACTCCCACTGGTGTCTTTGAGGGCTGGACGCATCAGACCTCCACACTCCTTTCTAATTCCATACATTAAAAAAGGAAAATGAGTTATTGCACTCCGTTCATATGGGAATGTATAAT